ATTTGTTTCTGTTAGAGGCAGACAATCTGATGGGAAAAATTAACTTATTCTGTATCTACAGACCAACCAGAAGAAATGTTAAGTTGGTGCACCTGTCAGAGCAAATGTCCTTGAAGAAAATAAAGAACACAGTGATGCCACAGCTGTGGGATGACTATCCAGTTTACATCACATTCTTTTTGTCTCATGATCCAGGAAAGTAATAGCAGCAGCACTACCACAGAACCTCTAAGGTCATGCAACACTCCTTCAGCAAATCCTTCCTCTGTGACAGAGCTGATCCCTCCTTAGAGAGATGACAACACAATTAAATGGCTGTGGGGATGCACTGGGCAGCATAGCACAGAGATGGGACATACTGCTCAACAGGGTCCTGAAAGCCTGCACTGCTCACCTTGTGGCATTCACTCTGATTTACAACAACTCTGACTTCAACAGCCATATACACAGAATTAAGGTTGGAAAAGACCTCCAAGATCATCTGGTCCAGCCATCAACCCATAGCCGCCATGCCCACTAACTACATCCCTGAGTGCCACATCTCCACAGCTCTTGAACATCTTTGGGGATAGTGGTGCCTCCACCTCTCTGGGCACTCTGTTCCAATGCCTCACCACACTTTCTGTGAAGCAATTGTTCCTAATATCCAACCTGAGTGTCCCCTGGCACAACTTGAGGCCATTCTCTCTCATCCTATCATTACCTGAGAGAAGAGGCTGACCCTCAGCTTGCCACAACCTCCCTTCAGGGAGCTGTAGAGAGCCATGAGGTCTCCCCTGAGCCTCCTTTTCTCCAAACTGAACAATCCCAGCTCCCTCAGCTGCTCCTCCTAAGACTTGTGCTCTGCTGCACCCTGCACACTAAAGGGGATGCATGCCAAGGCTTCTATCTGCACAGAGAAAGAGAAAAGGCCTCTCCTTGTAGTGCAGCAAATAATAGACATTTCATGCTATTTTATTCCTGTTGCTCAAGATTTATAAGCCTTTTCCCAGTTGTTATTTAGTGGTATTCCAAGAACAGTAGAATGAAAGAGAATTTTAGATAAATTGACCTCTAATTAACTGTAAAAGACACATATTTCAGATTTGAAAAGGGGAGCAAAAATAGCTTCTTTCACTCACTTTTTCATTATAATTGGAATCTGAATATGACCAGGGAACAGTTAAGCAGGCAGCCATTACACTGATGTAAACAGCACTGTACCATTCCCTGCACTCACTCAGGCAAACATCTGTAATGCGTGTATCAGGCCACATCTGGGCAAATGTCTGCTATGTTTTTCTTCTGAGGAACTCCTTAAAGTGCCAGTAGCATCTTCAGCAACTGCCCTCAGACGCTTTGTGCCATGACGTGCTGCAGTGGTCGCTGCACTGCTGTCAGCACTCACGTGCTATTCCTGATGTGAATGGCATGCTGCAGAGCTACAAAGCCTTACAAAATTTGAATGGCTCTTAGGATGTACTCTTAGCAAAATAACAAACCCCTCACTTACTTGGAGTCTTCAGAGACATAGGTTCCATAGAGAGAAGGGAAACCTGGATATTTCTACTCCTGGTTAGGATGAAGTGAGGTAAGCTCAACAGACCAGACTAATGCCCCTTTAGTTAGCCTTCTTCTCATTCCTCAGACTATGAAGCCACACAAGCTCTATGTGAGATAGCCCACGTGGTTTTATGTATATAGTTTAGAAGTCATAAGCTGGTCACTATTCTATTTGAACCCTCAAATCTTCCTGCTTATCATGCTTTTTTCACTCAAGTTCACTTGCACATCAGCAAACTGGTATTAACATCCTGTGCTGTTGCAGTGCCATTTCACACAGTGCAGCCTCTCATCTGAGTTTGCACTAACATACAAACTTGCAAAATCCATTTGATCAGTCAATTGTAACTCGTGACTGCAGCTTTGAATCACACTGAGCAAACATGAAAGCTTCCCAAGCCAAAACAAATAAATGAACTTAAACATACAGCTCTACTTGCCAGGCAGCTGTCATAGATGAGGCACTAAAGATTCTTAGTTTTTAACCACTTCTTCCATAGTGGGGAGAAAAAAAAAAAAAAAAAAAAGAAAAAGCATGCCTCACATGAACCAAGATTAATTTTATAGTTTTTGCTTTGGGAGATTTGGCTCGAAATTATCACGGTGACATATTTAACTATAGATTTTGTCTTCATCAGGAATTAACATTTACACCAGAAAACAGATGAACTTCAACACATGCAGAACACAGATTTTGTCTTAAAGCCAGTTTTAGTTCCTTATCACCAAGAAGCACTAAGGAATACAAATAGAAGTGTAAAACTGAGTGAGCCCCAAATAAGTTTTACATAATACTTCAAAGCAACTGATTCTTAACCACAGAGCACTTCCAAATAACCGCATTACTCTCCACCAGAAAGGAAAAATATTTCAGCATCATGTCTGTAAAACTGTGCTCTTAGTTACAGCTATTGCTTTACTGTCAATTTCAGTTTGACTGTTTTGAAAGAAAACATCAGTAATCTCTGCAAGTTTTGAAACAAAATCAACAAAGTCTTCTGTCCAACACCACTTCAGGAGTGCTTAAAACTGGGTAAATTGTAGCTTGGCCCTCCATCCCCATCAGGCAACTGGAAGTTCATCAGGAGCATCACAGAACCATGGAAGAGCCCCAGTCCTCTCTACTTCACCCAGACTAAGCCCAGCAGACAATGCAACCTCACCAAAACTTGTCCTTACGTAAGTGGGTGAGGTAGACAATGAAACAGGAAAGGAATTTGAGAGTACTCCTAAAAACAGGCATCTCATGCTAATAGAAAGACCTATAGTGCACACCCTCTCTGCCTTGATGGGTATAGACAGATTTTTTGAAATTGCATTTGCCTGATGAATAGTATAATAGCAGCATGTGCTGTTGGCTTTTCTGCAGGCTCGGGAAAAATAATTAACTTGCCCTACTTTCAGACAGGTAACTGAAATGGATACCACTCTCTGAAGTTTTAATCATAATTTTCTATGGGGTCATATGGGAAACTGGGGAAGAGAGATAAAACTGTTTTGCACTGCTAATAAAGCACAGAGATTCTTTTTAAAAATAGGGACACTTTTTTAAAAATAGGGCATTTCGTTTGTAGAACTCACCTTTGAGACATCAGACAGATGGCGTATTGAACTCTTCTTTTCAGGAAGCAGTTCGATCTGGAACACAACAAAGATTTCAAGGCAAGGTATCACCTTTAGTGTAAACAAGAACGTTTCTTTTCTCTTCTTGCTCTGGATCCTTAACCTCAGAAAGCCATTTCTTTCTACTGCCATTTCACTAGCTGATCTAACAACGTGGCAAACTGCATCTACTCCTGCACAATGACTACAATCACATCACGTCAGTGGAGTTCTACCTGCGACAAAAGGTCACCCTGTTACTTCAGCACGTAGGTTGGTCACTGTCTTCAAGGTTGTTGGTTGTTTTGCTCACTTTTCAGATATCAGAAATGACAAAATTGTTAACTGCTTAAGCTGGAGATTCTTCCAATCCACTAGACTGCTATTCAGATCTGTTTCTTCAAATGGAAATTTGGAACTAAACGACGCAGCATCCGCTAAACCACTTGAATCAAAATTGTGGACTACTTGCTAATTCTATGTTTAAGTTAGTAAAAAATGTAAAAATGATTACTGTATTTCAAATAAGCTTGTGCTACCACAGCTCTAAGTCCAATTTTTAGCAGCATCCGGTAAAAAAAAGTGTTATTCTAATGAAGAAACCCTGCAAATACAAACATTTTTAAAGTTACCTATGAAACATAAAATAACTAACTCTCTAATTTTATTATTCCACCAGGGCACTTAATTCTTTAAAAATAATTAAAGAAATCCAGTTCTTGTAAAAAAAAAATTCATACTATCATTATGGTTCATCTTCTCAGTCTTGCACAGTAATCTGGTTTTGTAAAAGTGAATTAATGACAGTAATTCCCTTGCTTCTAAACTAAGCATATATATATATATCTGACCTGAAAAAAAATAATATTCTCTTGGGTGATTATGTAATCATTTAATCAAATTCAGTACTTCTTTTCAATGAATATGAGGATTGTATTTTCACACATTCTTAGAAAAGCACAAAGATTAATCACTACCTGAAAAATCTCCATATTTATATATATATTTGCGTATCTGTATGTACACAGAAATGTGCACAACTGTAAGAAAAGAAGTAAAATTACACAAAAAGGCAACGACCCCATAAAAATTATTATAAAGTTTTAAAAATCAAGGGCTCCCTATTTCTGCCTGACTGCACTTGGAGGGATATGCTGCTTGGATACGATAGAAAGAAGCAGCTTTTGAATGGCTTTTGATTTTGTATTTTTACCCTCTGCCCTCTCTGTTATACCTGCTCTTGATTTCTTGCATTTCTTTTATGATGCAGAGTAGTAGCCCACAATTCACAAAAGCAAAATCAACATTGTAACATTAATTCATAGACTCAGATTTAGCTCCCCCTACCCCAGAAGGAAAGATGTCTTCAAAGAAAGTCTCCAACTATACAGCTTTCCTCATGAATGAGAAAATTCAGATTTTTGTTGTTAATGCTTTAGTTTCGGACCACAAAAATTCTTTAAAATTACCCCCTATCTCCATTGTTCTTTAGTAGATTTAGTTACCTAGTCGTATTTGTATGACAGGTAGTTGATACTCAAGGACTAAAATCCAGGCACATCTCTTCGTCTTCCTTTTCAATGTGGAATTTTCAGGGAAGAAAGAATACAAACTTCTTTCCTGCTCTTCTGTGCGACAGCTCATTTTCAGTCTTCACACTGTGATTTCCTTAGCTAAACAAACTACAAATTTTCCTTTTATGCTTTAATTCCCAAAATTACAGGATTTAAAGAAGTGATTTTTGCTTTGCCATCTAATGGAGATTTGTTGTAACAGGAAAAATAAAACCACAACAAAAACAACAAACAGGATTTGCTACATCAGCCAATAATGACAACAATTTATCTTTAGCTTCTTTATTTAAAATCAATTTATATATCAGTTAATTTCATCCATAAGAAACTGTTCTCTGATAAAATCCCATTGTATTGGACTGGCAAACCCCTAGCCATTTTTATTTAAGAAAATAATACACCGATGCCCCACAAATTATGATGGAGTTTAAACAGAAGTAGGTCTCTCTTTACTATATAATGAAGACAGTGTCATAGAAGTATATAACAAATCTATAGAAAATTCAGAAAAAAATACAGAAAAATAGAAGTTCATTATGGGTTTTGCCTTAATCCAAAATTATTTACTGGAAATAAAATAATAAAAAAATGCTTTTAATATAAATAAATACACGTTTTTATAGATGAAATGTATCTGAAACATGATTTTTTCTGTTTCAAAATTTCAAACTATGCACAAATTTCAAAATGATGGGCTATGTTGGCAAAAAAGTTGGTTACAAGAGTCTTTATTTTGCAAACTATACAGAAACAGTAAAAAATAAAATGCAGTATACTTTTCAATATCACATAGGATAAACATTAGATTTTGTATTTAATGCGTAAAAATTAATTCAAATAATAAACTGATTTTCCTTTTAGTTACTGATGGGAAACCAGTAATCCAGTTTTGAAATCATACAACCTGTAGTATTACATTGTACAGGTCAAGTCAACTTTATTGTGGGCAGAAAGCAATAGATGTGATATGAAGATGGTGGAGTCCCAAAATGTCTACACAATTAATTAACATGCTAACATAAATACAGTGATTAAAGAAATTTTCTCTACAGTCAAATCTTAAGTGCTACTCTACACAATAATTATGATCTAATCCACATGGTAGTTACATAACAATAGGAAAAAAAATAATCCATTTTCTTCATTCCAGCAGCAGTACCTATACTGGCATTAATTTGGTAATTGGGTGTGCTTAGCTATTGCCTAACAACCTATACTGGTATGCATGCTAAAATCTCTCTCTATCTCTATTTTGCAAGGCACCTTTACAATACTTTCGCTAAGTTTCTGCACTAGTAACAGAAAACAACATGAATTAAGATAAAGATGCAAAACTATTTCCTGAATTTAGAAAATAAAAGGTATAATTATGTACTTTTTAAAAACTAAGCTGGGGCAACTGTCAATGCTCTGAAATACAGTCATATATAAAGGTAATATAATTTTACTCCAATTTTTCCCCACGTTAAATATTTTATGGTAATCTGATTAGAGAGACGTACTGAAAAACAAAGGGTGAAGTAACGTTTGAGTAAATAACCACAAAGCCCAGACAACCTCGACATGAAAAAAAAAAAGGTAGGTCAAGAAAATGTTTAATTTACAGAATTAGTGCTCGTCTGTGAGACTGCTTTTGAAAAATCCTTTCAAGAACCTAGCCACGTCCTGTTAAAAAACATAACTCCAAATGCAAACACAAATGAGGACTCTGTTCATTTTCCCCTCCTGTTAATTTATCTCCTTACCTTTGGTTAATTAAAGGCTGGTAAGACGCTACTTGTGCATCAAAGAGGACATGCACAGGTCCAGGTAAGGGCAAATAACTTTTCACAGAAGTTTTAAAAAAAAAGACTGATCTTATAGTGTGTTTTCTACATTATATCATTTATATCTTCAGTAGCACATAACATTTTCTTCTTCAGGCTACACTTCCAATGTGTTTTCTTCAGCGCAAAGGCATTTAAAAACTCAAAAGCACATAATATAATTATTCTTATTTAAACAAAAAAGTCTATGACTCCAGCTGCAATGTTTGAAATAATCATACAAAATATACACATTTGTTAGAATCCTTTTGATCTTGAAGAGCAAAGGGATTTTGTGAAATGTCATATTGTGAATTTTAGAAAGGTACAATTCATCGACCCTCCTAATACCATCAAATGTATCCATCATGATCATCGTCATCATCTACATCATCATCTCCTTCATCTTCATCGTCGTCGTCAATTTCATCTTCATCATTCATTATTTCATCATCATCATCTTCATCATCTGTCCAGTCATGGAAATCACCAGAAGCAAAATCCCCTGACGTCTCTAAATCAATAGCTAAAAAGGCATGATAGTTATATGAGAGACACACAAACCATATCATACATTCATAGAATAATACGTACCATATTTATAGTGTCATATTCACAGGCATTCAAAAGAGATGCAAAATTCTTAGTTTCAGGAGAATTACTTTTTTTAAAAAAACTTTCACATAGAATATAATTACACAATAAAAACACTTTTTTTTTTTTTTTAAACAGGAAATCCATATCAGAAGGGATGAATTTCCCAATTTTAACAAATGGAGATGAATGTTATGGACTTGCAGAAATATAATAAACTCCAGGAAAAAAAACCCCAAAAACTACTGTACAACTACCCAGAACTGGATTAGATGGAAAGGTATGTCAATTGCTATGACACTGATATGTGTTTAATTTACCCAGTATTTCAGACTATGCACCTCTCAAAGGAAGGGAAATGGCAATTAAAGCCTTGCATTTCTCCATTTTTGATGTCTTGGACATAAAATAAAAGTGGTATGGGAATTCCTGGAAGTTGCAGGGCTTTTTAGGGGAAAAGGGGAAGACAATGTGCTAAAAACTCTTGGGAATTCCTTCCAACAAAACAAAAAATCTAGCTGATTACCCAAAGAGATGTCACCAAGCATTTCAATAGCTGTTACAGGTAATTAATTTTCCCTAAGTTTACCTACACTATGAAAAGCACATCTATGAGGTCTATTAACAACTGACATAGTCATAAGGGTTGCAAACAACAAAGTAATAAAAATCACAAATTATATTTACATCAAAATCCATGTAGCTGCATCCCATGCCATACATTTGTGAAGGAATGTGGCCTGGTTGGCCATCAAAGCATGTAACATCTCCAAACTAAGTCCACAGAAGTTTCTTAACTTACCACATTCTGCCACACCGTTTGTTCTGGATCCTGTTACTTCATTGCCATATCTGTCAACACACCAACACTGCCCTACGCTTCCATGGCACTGACTTGGTTTGTAATAACCATCTTCATCACACAAGGGTATGTACTGCCCTGGAATATATACATATCAGATACAGACATAAATGCCTCTTGACCAATGTAACAATTACAGCAGAAACTACCTTTCCTGACTCCAGATTCTCCACTGACCAGTTTACTTTCTTCTGTCAGATTCAGTTAAGCAGCAGTGACTGATAAGCAACAGAGTACAGTGGATACCAGCTTTGGACTGGTTAGTCTTGTCCAAAATCTTTCATTCTGGACACTCATTTTATTTATTAGCTTCAGTTCCAATTATACTGTATTATATTATGTTATCTCACATTCCACTATCATATTTAATAAGTCAGTTTTCTCCCATTGCTTGTTGCTGCTGTTTTCTTTGTAGGCCAACCTCCCTATCTTCTACCCTTTTTCCCTTCCCCTCTCCCAGGGTGTTGGTCTGTGGGTCCCTCCAATCCATTACTCAAGGAATTGGGCCCAACCAGCCCAAGAACAACTGACAAGCAGAGACATTATCATGGACTTATTCTGTAAGGCACTGGCTTTCCTAAGGCTGTATAAATCACGGTTTTTAATTTGGAAGGAAAGACATCTTTTTGAAAGAAAGTTAAAAAATGGAGAAACAACACTGCACAAAACATTTCGAAGTCTAGAGTTATTAGAAACCACTGTTGGCAGAAATACACTTTTGACTACTTTGGGTTAAGCCTTTCACTGCAGCTTTCACACTGAGGCTAAGAGTAAAACGAAGATCTTACATTTTAGTGATATTAATACAGTATAAACTGATTAACAACAAAGATTCCAATTGCTTAAAGAAGGATACAAGTAAAGGATCAGCAGACACACTAATTTAGGAGTGCCTTTGCCTCTCCACTCTATAACCATAAAAACATACTTTCTATTAGGTTAATAGAACAGACATTATATCTTTCAGTAGGAACAGTAATAAAACTAAGTTTAATAGCTTTCAAAAACTTCATAAATTTTGTTACTAGAATTTACTGTTCTCTATCTTTGTTGGATTAATATTGATTTTATGTTGCTGTTTCACTAGGATTATTTATGTAAGCAATAAAACCTTCAAAAGAATGATCTATGGCTCACCTAGGAGCTTCTTTCCTCCTTGCTGCTTCTGAATGTTGCTGAGTTCCGTCTGGCAAGGTGGGTCTAAAAGGACATGAAAAATGTTGAACATATTACATGGTATCTAGGAAGAAAAGCATACGACTAACTTCTCATGGTTTGCTATATTCCCTAACTGCTGATCTTAAAAAACAAACAAACAAAAAAAACAACAGATCTTGCCTTAGCAGTCACATTCTCAGCTCTGAAAGAATTAATCCAGCTCGCCACAGCTCTGGAATTAGGAAACTACACACAACCACGGATTTGAGCAGAAAGCAACTGCCAGTTAACCCAGCTGTAAGTGAACATCTGGTCACTGGTACTGATGATTTCAAAATGCAATAATGAAACAGTTACTCTATCATACCCTACTTCATCAGTATACAGAGATCAGTGTGACTGCAAAGCTTGCAAAAGTATTGGTTTAGATTGGTTAAGGGCTCTTAATTCTTACCCTTTTGTCTCTGTTACAAGTCATGTTTAAGTTCTGAACTTCAAATATGACATTAACTAAATAAGAATTTTCTTCACTGAAATTTGCAAGATTGCGGTTCTATTGCAACCCCAATTAAAGACAGAATTCCATGGGTATGAAGCTCTTTGTTTAGCAATCCAGTTTAAAACTGTGCCCAAACTTCAGATAAGAGACAGAAGAGGTAATAAGTTTTCCATTGGTCACAGCTATAGCTCTGAATCATTTCATTTTCTACTCTCTATAAAGTCAGAGTACGTTCCATGAATGGGAAGGAAATAAGACACAAACACATATCCATCACTGCTGAATAAATAAGTGAAGCTAAGCCAGTGAAGTACTGATCTTTGAATCCAGATATTGCATACACTGTGCCACTAGCACAAAGGCATTTCTCATTCTGAATCAGTATTAATGTTAGTGGCTTTACTCACATGTGTGTCTTCAGCTTTAAGTGTTCCCAGACTATATTCTGATAACATCTCCACTAGAATCCCACATGCTATTAAGTTCATTTTTCATTTTAAGACTCTCTGGTTATTTGTAATACATCTTTTCCATGTAATTTACTCAAGGCTTCCTCGTGAAACAACTTCTGTCCACACACACAGGAAACAAATCTAAGTTACTTTAAGATGAGTAAGATTGGCTTAGCTTTGGGCACACTAGCAAAAGACCTTCTGACCAGAAATCAGTCACTGTGTAAGCTAAAAAAAAAACACTTCAGTGGTCAAAGTCCAAGGCAGTCTTTCCTGAATTCCACCAGGTGAAAACAAGAATTCTCATCATGTAGTCAACAGAGAAAGAATTTGGGACGCAGCTGGGAGAAGCAGAGGATTCACAAAAGGGTGAAGGACTGACAAAAATGTAATATGCAAAGAAATCTTCCTTGTGGGAATGCTCAAACATTAGTGATAACTACACAGAGTAACAGGATCAAAAATAAATTTATGGTCAATGCAGAGTCTCATCATCTGGCCTGGATATACCAATAGGCTTTTGATACTATTAATGACATCTTATCTAACAGAATAAATATAAACTGCAAGACATCCATAACCGCTCATTAAGAACCACTTGTTAATTTTTCTTGGCTTTATACTTTAAGTGCTCTCTACATGTCTCATCCACTAAAAGACACATATAACTTTAGACTGCCCTCAACTCGAATGGTTACAGCCATTCACACAAAGAAGTCCCACAGACTAGAAGGATCTACGAAAGAAGATGGGAATACGCAGATGAAGAACAAGCCTAGCAAAAAAGATACATCTACTGTGTTCTATGGAAAAAATATATGTAAATTAGAAATGTGTTTATATATTTTATAAAAGTGATGGGCTATGCCTACAAAAACCCTTCAGTTACAGCTACAGATCATTGGCAGGAGAATTAGAAAAAAAAATAATACCACTAATCAAAAGGTAACAAGGCAATATGAGAAACCTACTTACTCACAATTCTTTATAGAAGCTAAGTCTTCAAGGTACACATTCAAGATTTGCTTCTCGGGATAAAGGTGGCAAAACTTTCTTAGCAATTAATATTAAAAACACTCTTGTGCTTAGAACTGTCAAAAAAAGTGGCAGGCTGGAAGCTCAACTGGTTTTTGTTGTAGTTCATAGCTCATAATTGTTCAACTCTCCCCAAATGACAATGTTTCATTTTCCACTTAGTTCCTGATTTTTGAAAAAGCTTTCTTTTAGGTTTCTGAACTTAATTCAATACAAAGCAGATTCAGTGGAAAACCAGCCTTGGGAGTCATGACCAAAGAAGATTTATTCTGTACAAAAGTAATTGTTGAGTCTTCCTTTGAAATTGAAATGAACCTGACATCAGAAAAGTCTTTCTGACAGTCTGAATATAAACAAGAGACCTCATCATCTCCATCCTTAACCCATTTCCAGCAACGTGACAGGAATTTTCTGACAATATCACTGTGTTGTTCCAAGTGTTTCACAAACCACTTACTGGCCACCCACATTTATTCACTCCTCGAAGTGCTGATGTACAGCAGAGTATCTCATGTTATTAATACTGGACTTTGAGACATCAATATTCAGCTACGTCGAAAGGTGGTGCAGGGTTTGTATGATAAAGCTCTGGTTTACAAGAAGAGGTACGTTCACAGAACAATGGGAGGAAAATTGATAGATTACACAAAGAATATCTAGGATACTCAACAGTAATGCCTCAAGGAGCTGCTGCTCAAACAGCGAGCCTTCAGCTTTCAGATCCTCTATCTTATTCAATTACAAAACAGATTTTCCATGCATCAAGTAGACAGTATTTTGCAGAGCCCCTAGTTTTTGACATTAAAGTTGTCACGTTGTGTCTTGTCTCCACTTGCAGTCAAGTACATATAATTGATCATGGACAACTGAGGCTCTAGCTATAGAGATTTGAAGTGGTCAATACTACACTTCGAGAAACCTTCCTGGGATCTCACTTATACAGCCCACATTATATCTTTCTCTCAAACCACCTACGCTCATATTTAACGCCCTGCAGTCTCAAGAGACTGATGCAACAAATAAAAATCACAACATTTAACCACTATTCTGCAAGACAAACTAGTTGTAAGGTCACAAAGTAGTTTTTCATTCCTGATAGGCAGAAGAGCTTGTAGGAAAAAGGCATCCAAGATAAATGCTGGCCTAATAGACCCATACAGAGGCCTGTAGTAAATCAATACTTATGTTCCAAGCATTAATATTCCCAGTAAAAGTGGGTACTCTCCTCCTCTATTTTCAAGGAACAATGCAAAAAAACCCCAAAACTTCTAATAATAATAGAGTACTAGAAGAAATAATCAACCTGTAAAAAGGCCAGTGAAGTGTCTCAGCATTCAGACAAGAAAGAAGTGTTAAATTAGCATCAAGGACCTAAGAAAAAAAGTTCTGAAGCACTTGCATCAATTTTAATTGAAATCAGAGGGCAAGAGGACCAAAACAGGTGGGAAGACAGCAGAGCACTAGCAAAGTCCAGGTTTTGAAGTACTGCAGAAATGCTAAGCTGCATTTACAGCAGGATAAGGCCAAGAAAAAAATGCAATGCCCTATGGGCATTCTTACATAGGCACTGAGCCCTTTGTAAGAAATTAAGCAGCAGCCAAAGTGGGACAGCTTTTACAGGAAGAACAAGACAGATGAGATTTGAGTACTGTAAGAAATGGCTTGTATTGACTAGATGTGAGTACTGAGCAGTAATGGGACTAGTGTACTTTAACTCACCATAATAAACCTCATGCAAAAAGAAAGCAAACAAAGAATTGCAAGTAACTGTCTGATCCCAACAGTCATGAACTGATACAATGACTTAAGCAAAAATTATGGAATTAAGAATAGTAGAATAGAATTTCTATCCCAGTATGATAAATATCATTAACTAAGTTTCGTATTCACTTTAAACTTGGTTCATCAACACTTCTGTAAAACTGTAAACGTACCCAGAAAACACCTAAGTTCAATGAATAAGACAGTTGCCTTCATGATCTGAAGTCTTCTGTTAATCTCATCTTATTGCAGCGAACATCAAAAAGAAAACACTGAGTTTCTCTACCTACCCAATTCCTTACTATCTGCAAAGGCTTAGTAAAAGGCCTTATTTCTATTATTCAGTGAGGTGAAAGATAGCTAAACTTGAACCTGTTAAAAGATGCTACAATACTACAAATAATAATTAGAGAATTCAGTAAGCCACATACACTAGGAAGTTCTGACTGTTGTGCAAGACAACAAGAAATGACAAAAGACTACAAGCACTTTTTTCCCCTTACACCTTCAGGAAAAAAGACAGATTTTGTTGAGTGTTTATTAAGAAGAACTACGCTGTCTTCCAAAGAATAAAGATATTTATTAGGCTGATTTGGGGTTCTGTTTATTTGAAAGACAACCAAACAAAACACTCCATGTTCTTTACTTAAGAACAACTTTGCTAGGCTAATGTTTTATTGACTAATTTTGGTAGCGGTGCACTACTTTTAAAAATGAATATTATTCTACAATAAAGCAAGCAAGGTGCTTGAAAGGTTGTTAACTTTTTAGTGGTAAAACTACCAAAGAAAAGAAGGCAGTTACTGGATATCTAAAGAAGTGCAGCTTTATTTTTGCTCAGATTTACACAGCTGGTATACATAGCCTGATACACCTTTATTTCTACAGAAATCAGAGCCCAACCATAGATAGTGAATGTTAATGGGAATTTATCATGGAAGCTTTAAAACCATAAGATATACAAAAAGAGATTAAAAATTTCAAAAGCATTGAACAGTTTTTGGAGTTTTCCACCATATCATTACTCTTATCTCCTCTACAGTCAATACATGTAGAGATTTGGATCTGAGTTGCTATTTATCCCTTCTAAAATCCCCCTCATATTAGCAAGAAAATTGAATAGGCAACTCTGTCCAGTTTCAGCCAATATTTACTGAGTAAACTCTGTAATTCCTCACAAGTTGTTTGAATATAACTCATGTGATGACTCAGCTAAATCTAAAAATCAATACTTATACACTGTGTTTATTTGTTTAAACAAATCACATCAGGACATTAAAAAAAAATCCTTCCAGGCAGTGAAAATCATCTGATTCTAGGTTCAAACGACTGAAAAAAAAAACCAACTTGATCCATAATGTTAATTCAGTTATTGTAATAAACTTCCAAAAAAGGAAAAACCCATTAAGATACCCTAGTTTAGCAATAAAATGTTTATTTTATAATGTAGGCAAAGTAAATAGGGAAAGTAGTAAAGTGAGTAATTTTGTTCTTTATTTTGGTCGTCTTCCTCTGTGTAAATACTGGAAATCAGCACGTAAAACAATACTGCTGTAAAAGCTTTTGCCACTCCTTTGTACTTATCCTTGAATTTCCATCAAACTCTTCCCTTTAGCTTTTTCTTCCCCCCCCCTTCTTTTTTTAGGTATTCACAATAGATCAAAAAGCTGCACACAGATTGACAGTACGACATTTAAAGAGCTTGTAGTTCACTGTAATAATCTTCCTACGTTAAAGAAAAGATGGAGCACTACAGTAACATCAGTCATACAAATATGCAGGCTGTTCTCATCTTTTACCTTGCTGTCTTTGAAAGCAGTAGCACCACTCATTGTTAGATATCAAACTATCCTTGTATGTGTCACAGGAATTGAAGAACGCCCTTGTGCATGGCTCATTCTTGTCAAGGTAAATGCTTCCAAGTTCTGACTGGTCCAACAACAGGTCGTAGTTGGTATCAAGCCTGTTGAACATCCAGCCCAGGGAGTCCTTGCAAATTGGCAAAATGCTGGTATCAAATCCTAGGAGCCAAAAATAAAAATAAATCAGATAACAGGAAAGATAAAGCAGGTGCTGAGCTCAGCCACCACAAAGGCACGCTGTATCATAGAAACTGCTCCAGTGCTACGAGGATACAGTACATAAGCAGTGCATGCCATTGAAATTCCATGTATAAATTACACTCCGTTTTAAAAAATCATTAAGTTAATAGCTTAAAATAAATCCTGTCATCAGCCTCAAAACAGTTAGAGCCTTCTTGTCAAATATTACACCTGTAGCACACATATGTACTGTAATGGAAGATCTACAATTTCCTGGAAAGTAATTTTTGTGATGTTATACATCAGGAGAGGGAAGCAAAGCTGAAGTGGCATGCAAAGTTCACAAAACTAATAGAAGACTAAATACCAAGCAACTTACTGGAGTACACTTGTTTCCTCCTATAACGTATATTCAGCTGAATGAAAATGGAACTTCATACAGTCTCAGCAATGCCTAGAAAGTTCTGACATTCTAGCTTTACCTGGTGCACTGTATGTATCAGGGGAGGCATGCAAAAAGGGTCTAAGAGCAGCCTGTTTCCAGTACAAGATCTACCTGTACAGCTTGCTTAAACTGCTCCTTGGTAACAGGGCCACCAAGAAGAGGCTGAATTAATTAATCCTGTAGCCAGGTCTCAGATTTCATGTACTCTATCAGCTGTAAAGTGCAAGCAGACTTGCTTACAGACACAGAGGGGAGACTCATGAACTGACAGGCCTCTCATATAGATGTGAGCTGCACTTAACACAGATTTTTTCCTATTTGTGTGCCATGGGTCCTGCCATGGTGAACATGGTAAAGCACTTGACTGTATGTCCTGGACAAGAAGATGTAGCTGAATGCAAGGTTTTACTGAATAGCTTTTCAGCTAAAACAAAGCAATGAAAAGATGAGATGATGTGAGAGTTCCACTTAGCACACAGAAATTCCCAGCTTCTACTACTGTTAAAGTTGAGCTGTTGTTCAGAAAACAATAAAGAAATCTGAAGAATAGCCGTATACTTCTAAAATGAGTCAAACTGGAGAATTCAGAAACCTGACTTAGAAATCAACTTGTATTTCCTTAGATATATATGCATGTGGAAACATCCAGGCTGTGGCTGAACAACCATTTCAGAAAGGAAAATGCCCGAACACATGAACTCCCTCTCCCTAAAAATCCTAAAATCCTAAATAAATGATGCCTTTTGCTTGAGTTAATCTTGCTCCCTGTTGGCTTGTTGCATTCACTATTATTTCTTCTTGACAGAAAAAAAAAAAAAATCCTTTTGGTACTGATTATACAGATACATTTAATGCAACATAAAAATGACTGTGAAGCATCCACACTCTACCTTACTCTCCAGCTTCTGACAAACACCAAGAGAAAACAACATATTCTGTTGTCTATGGAGAGCAGAGACAGACAAGAAGAGATTGCATGTACAAGGATATACCAGTACATGTGTGATTCACCTTCATCTGTAAAAGACATCAAAATTATTTATCAAGTGTTCCAATTTGAAAAACTTTGGAACATTCTTCCACCTTAACACATTTTTTTTTTCCTAAGGATGAATTTTCAGTGTAACGTTATTTACCTCCCAGGCTCTGCTCCTGAAGGCCTCTTAACACTTCCCAGAGGCTTCTCTTTCCTCTGCTAGTCCTGCTTTCAGCTAGAGATTCTCCACAAGACATTGAATTCAGAAAGGTATGTTCCATATCAAGCACATTTCCTATCCTGCCTTTTGTGTACCTGTACGAAGGGAGGAATTATTCTTGTGCTCATAATTTTGGTGTTCTTGCAAGCTCACCAGATTGTAAGAAAAGTTGCAGAAAAAGAGCAACCATGAGGAGAAGACAGAAGTATTACTGAGTAAGATGCTGGCAAGAACAGAAGACAAAAGTCATTCCAAATGCTTATTCAGGGATGAATGTTGTTGTCAAACTAGGTAACTGTGCAGAAAAGTACATCAGTATGTGGAATTTTCAGCAGTCCAGTGAAAGAGGTATCATTTTCAAGTTTGGTACACAGTGTATGTAGTCCATGCTGGAAGAATAAATTCACTAAAGTACACCCTTAAGTATATTGTCTTCTAGGATATGAGGAGCAAGTATTATATATGTAAATAAACTCTTCTAAGGAAAAAACAAAAACAACTAAACGCTCTGGTTGTTCATTTCTAGTAGTCAATTTCAACTTTTATCATAAAAAGAAATGAATTTGTCTGAGGTACGTTGAAAGGCCACTTAAAATTTCAAAGGTTTTGTGCCTCACTAAGTTATGGTATGGAATAAAATTACATGTCTTCAAAAAGTTGTATTCTGGAGTTATTTTTCCACTATTAGCTAGCAATTTCAGTTTATCCTCTACTCCAATTCCCCAGTTTTCTCTCTTCTATACAGCTTTTATATTTAAAAAAAAGTGTCCAGTAGTGATGTCCCTCTGGCTTTCCAAGAAAATTCGATATAACAGAACTTCTTCGGTTAGCTCAGAGCCTGAAAAATAACGTTTACTTACATTAAAGCTGTCATAACCTACCTATTCATTAGTATCTGGTTGAAAAAGACCTCTAAGATCATCTTTTCCAACCCACACCCACCACGCCTGCTAAATCACATCTCTCAGTGCCACATCTCCCCTTTTCTTGAGCATCCCCAGGGATGGTGACTCCACCACCTTTCCAAGCAGCCCATTCCAGTGCCCTCTCCTGGTGCAATCTGAGCCCATTACCTCTCATCCTATTGCTATTACCTGGGAGAAGTTGTCCTCTACCTTGTTACAAAATCCCTTCAGGTAGCTGTACACTATTATTTAAAATTCTTCCTTTCTTCGGTATCTACAATCATAGCATTTTAAATAGAGAAAAATCACATCTCTTCTTTGCTTTCATTTTGCTAAATGCAACAAGTTGCACTGCAGTGTTGTAGAGAAATGCTTAAAGTCTATGTCAAACTCTAGTGTAGGTGAAATAAATAAAAGTGGCTGAAGTACTTAGAAGTAAACTAGGCACATGTTGACAGAGACAAAAAATGACTTTAAGTTAAAAACCAGCTGTCCACCTACTCTGGAACTGTTCTACCACACAAAGATCATTACCTGAGTTCCGTGTACATAATATCTACTCTTAAAAGATTACTATGTTGTCATATAAGCAACTGGGAAAACTAGGGATGATCATTTCATTCTGCAATGATTTTCTACCTCTACTATAATACTGAGAAATCAATACACCTCTTATTCTCAAAGGTGGCAGGCTTCAGAAAAAAAAAACGTCAAAGCACTTAAGAACACCTGATGTGGTTTGACACAAGGTAAATTAACACTAAGTGACCCAGAACGAGAAATAAATTGCTCCAAATCACAGACTACCTGTATTTTTATTTCAAGAGTCAAGTGGAATGCTGTTCTTACACATTTTTTGCAGCTGTGGAAAAAAATGAACTGAAGAAAGGGGAAGAATTATTATAGCAAAAGGATAGTAATTTGTTCCAGAATATCATGTTGAAGAGAGCAAAACTGCTGCTCAGGTGCCTGAATTAGTGGCAAAATTCTCTCATTTTAAGTGCTTATTTGAAATCTATTTCCATATATGATAATGAAGGGGGCTTTTATGTAGCTATTTCTGAACATTGTGTAAATCTAGTAGAAGTGAACAGAAGTAGTATTAAGGGTTTAGCTTTATTTCATCTAATGCATACACTGCAAAAGAACTTGATTTAAAAAAAAATGGGAAGTACCAGCATAAGCTCCTTTCTCCAGCCAAAACAATCCCAAGGGAAATACTAATGACAACCATACCCCTCGCTCATGGCTTAAACATTAGCATCCAAAACATTATTTTGAAAGGAACCAACAAAAAATGATCCTACGCTTCTGATTATTTTACAGGAGAGAATTTCAACTCACGGTAATCATAATATTTTTTACATTGAAAAGCAGATTATTTGCTTGGTTATTATGCTCATAAGAAATAAATCCTCGTGTATGTTGAGGAAGATAGCTTTTGTAATTGTTTGTGGAAATCAAAATAGCATACATACGGCTCACACAGTGCATTATGTAAAGTTGTTTATATGTGCCAAGGGAAGCAAAAGGCGTGATTCTTTCTGCCACTAGCTCACTGTCCAGCACAGTAAAAAGCACTGCCAAATCACACAAGTGAATAAACACAATGTGCTCTATGCTTGAGAGCAAACTACCATCTCAACTATGGTCTTTACTTGTTCAGATAGCAAGCTGCATAGCAAGGTCTGCACTTGTGATGCTTTGTTTTTTTTTTCTTAAAGCATATATAGGTTATCAGAAAACTTTATGTTAACATTTCCTCAGAGCTGAGGTCTACACCGCACAAGCTGGGAACCACTTTTCCTTCCCAATCTAATTTTACCAGAACAGATCTGAGCAAGGACTAAACTCAACTAAACTGCTGAGTCACAGCCTGAACCACTGATTGATCACCTGGGGAAAGGACCGGGTCAGCCCTGGGAGCACAGGTGAAGGCAATTCAGCTGTGAGACCAGAAGGGGTGAAGCTCGGCTGAACCTCTCCCACACCTCATCTACAGGCTGACTGCCAAACCATGGAAGGTTCTCTGGTTGGAGATACCTTCTTAATGGAGCTTTCCCCCTGCAAACCTACAATCTTCTGATACGGGAATCTTCTTCCCTTCCTTTATGGCACCTTTCTATCATGCTGGTCCTTCTGTCATCACACATAACTCCTTTCCCATTGTACTGATCTGTCCAATTGCTACAGGGGGACAATTAAGCAGATGTGAAGGCTTTTTGTCATGTTTGCTGCTGACAAGAAATGCTGCTCTAGTTGAGACTCACCTGGCACCAAGTGGTAGCATTAGGCATGCACTCTCTGTAGCCTGTCTAAAATTGTAATATATTCCTGATGACTACAATTACACGGGTGGGAGCAGAGTCAGGATTCAAGTAGGACACTCGGAAGGTACCAAAGGTACTGATTCATTTTACAACAAAATGTGGATGGAAAAGAAGTAGAGAGAAGTTGCAGAGTCCCTTAAACATTTGTGAAAGTTCCAATCCTGAAGTCTCTCCTTTTCCAGAAAGTGTTCTAGAGAATTTTACTCTATGGAAAAGATAAAATTCAAGCTGGAGCCTATTGCTGAAAATTTTAAACATGCTACTATTGTGGAGGGTATAGATGAAATGAGTTCTGCAAAGGCCGCGTTCTAAACAGATTGTTAAGGAAAAGGTACCTGAGGAGGGAGGAATAAAGTTAACAGTGCTACAAAAAGCCATCTATATCTGTTTCTCTGTGTACAAGGATAATGCTGCCTGTACACGTGATTAAAACAAATATCAGCCAACAATACAAATTTAGTTCATTTAGATTCACGATTTTAGGTGAACATGCATTAACTTAAAATTCTGGTTCAGATTAGATTCTGAGTAGGCTAATCTGACAATGCAGAAAGTCCTTGGACGAACCTTTTCCCTCCAGGAAACTTAACTGCAACTCAGATATTGGATATTGTCAAAGATAACATCAAAAGCAGGCAAGCTTTCAGTCAAGTCAGTATTTTCAAGACATCAAAAAAGAATGTTTAAAACTGAAAACTCTATAACTTAGAACTATGCAATGACTGCATGGGAGACAACCAAATAGTACACAACAGTCTACAGCTTACCAGTTCTGCCTATTTATTGGAGTTCTTAAATACTCTTCAGCAAGGAAGTCCAGGGAAATTTAATTTCTCTGTATCACGTCTCTTCAAGAAGAAACTTCAGATAGTTAAAGTGAAGTGAAGACCTCCACACAGATATCTGAGATTACTCATTTGCACTATTCTATATGAAATTAGTCATACCTTGCTTTGAGCTTGTAGAGCATCTGGCAATTTTAGTGTAACAATCTCTCTTCATACTAGCTTTAGACAAGCCAGTTTGAGTTTTCTTTCAGAATTTTGTTGTTATTACTCAAAATTATTTTGTGTATTTTAACCAAATAACCACATTATTACCAACTCCTAAGAATATTCTCTATGATCTGGCCTCTGGTTCCCAACATTACAAGGTGTACAAGTACTCCTCAGAAATAGACTGTTAGCACAAATATTTATGGGACTATAGTATTTTTTATGCTTTACATTTGATGCATTAATTCCATAGAGTTTTATCTCACAAAATTAATACAGAGATAGACTAACTTTAAATAGATGGGCAAAATCAACTCCTTACTTCCCTATGCACAAGGGAAGGACATGATGAGTATGACAGTACAACGTGGGTAAAGCACTCTTTTCCTGCTTATGTCATCTAGATAGACCTTAAATGGGAAAAAGGAAAATATTTAATTCTTATATAGCGTTTATAATAATGAAACTTCTAGGAACATACAATCTGAATACGTTTGAGCAGCAAATAGATTTTGAAAATAACATTTGCTCAATTACTACACACGTTCTAGCTTGCATAACTAATACGATACAGATCTAAAAAAAGGTGTCAGTTAAAAATAAACAACTACGTAACTCCTGGTAAAAACACAACATTGTAGATGCTTTATATTTTTAGTTTAGTATCAGAATATTGAAGCTTCTAATAGAACAACAACTTAAATACTAGTGTTTGGGCTGTTATGGAGTAGCAGCCATGAATGTAACCATCAATGTGAACTATTTAACAGTTAAAATAATTCCAAATAGTGTTATCAACTTTCACCTTCTCTACCTTGGTTGGAAGGAGTGTGCCCAAGACTTTAAATAAATCCTGTCCCAAATGCCAGAAGGGAGACTGAAACAGGTGAAAAAAACTAAATGCAAACAGACATCCAGAAAGGATGTCACAAATTGCTTTTTAAAATTCAGAATAGTTTCTCAGCAAAGAAGGAACTCTGAGAAGAATAAAAGCCTGAGGAAGAGGATGCCATGACAGATTTTTAACTCCTCGATGGTAGTGAACAAGTCCAGGGTTCTGCTAAAATAATTAGGACTACGAATGGGGAGGCTGCATTTAAAGTAGCTGTTTTGTTGTTGTTTTTTTTTTTTTGGTAGCTGTTGATATGCATAGGTCCTTAACTCAAGCAATAAGTATAAGGTCTCTTATGATCAAGAAATTCTTTACATGATTTGTTTCTAGATGTAGCTGTTACATCTGTGGGGGCTGGACTTTTTAATCTTGACATCATTAGGAATTAAGATGCCTGAAATTTTCAACCTAATAAGACTTTGGAACCCAACTTCTGAGGGACTTGATCAGAGCTTACATCTTGAAGAACAGATGTAAGAATTTCTTATTAGTATCAGAAAGTATATTACCATATTGAATGATTATCATTCTTTTTCTTTCTTATTTGTGTTTCTACAGGGACACAGAGGCACAATATTTTCTTCCAAACTATGACGTGACCACTTGATTTCAAAAGCAAACCAACCACTTTGGACACAGGTAAGTCAAATGGGGAGACAAATGCCATCATTCTCCATATTCCCCCTCCTTGTTTTTCACTGCAGCTTTTACTGCTGAGCATGATACAGGACATCCCTTTGGTCAATCAGGGTCAGCTGTGCTGGTTTTGTCCCTTCCCAGCTTCTTGTGCTGCACTGCCAGCATGGGGCCAGGGAGTGCACAAGAAAGAGAAATGCTTGAGCATCTGTGCAAGCACTGCCTGGCAATATCTAAGTACTGGTGTGCTGTCACCTCTATTTTAAACAAAAATCCAAAACATCATACGAGCCTCTAGTAAGAAAATTAACTCAATGCCAGCTAAAACCATGAAAGGCTCCTAAACAGTTTAGCTGCACTTTTGACCTCTTGACTTCTTTCACCCATCATCATTTTGTCCCTCCACCGATTACTCAGCAAGAAATAGAACTCTACACAGTGCTTGAGCTGAACTTCAACTGCACGATGTGGTAACATTAGTTACATTATTGGGTACACGTATTGCTATACAATAAATGCTTATACAACAGTCTCAATTCTCTTTTTTCCATTGCTTTTACTCCTAGATAAGAACACATGGCAGATATGTGAACCAACTGGAAATATACACTATGCTTTTCTCAGGATCAGGGAAGTAACATTCCTCTGTTACCAACGTACCTCAGAGTACGTACCTCAGCAGTCAGAAAAGTATTCCCAGGTAAGAAGGAATCATCTTTAATTCATTGCAGAATTATTTTACCACGAAAAAAACCACAAAGAAACCCAAACGTTTAAAATATTAGTAATGAACAAACTAAGCTGGGCAGACCATGGTGGTCAAGCTCTGTGAAACCTGAACTCAGGTGGAATTCAAGTTTGCTCTTCATATCAAAGTAAGGTAGAATTTTATGACTTAAATCTAATTTGACTCTCCTCCACAGTAGGACATCACTCATAAAACTATTATTGCACATTTGATTGCTATTAAATAAATATGATTACATTTTAAAGCTTTACTAATCCCTACAACGTGAATGGCAGCTGCCATATATTCTTACGAATAGAAGTTCAGCCAAACAGCTTTGAAGTTTTAAGTGAGCAACATATATCTGAACTAAGCCACGCAGCTCTGCTTCATAAATAAGAAATTAACTTTAGAAAAGCACGAAGTTATGGCTTCATGCATGTGCCCATTTAAAACACAATAACAAGGCAAGTATTACAAGCAAACATCAAAGAGAGCATCAAATAACGCAAGTAGAAATCTCTTACTGGTTCTTTCAGGCCTCTGAACAATCCTAGTCTTCTTATTCTGAATTCCACTTTCGTGAAGTGCCTTAAACCAGTCTCTCAACCTGTTTGCAATCTCCCTAAATTCCAGGTCACTGCAAACTGAAAAACAAAATGCAAAACATTAATAGAACTCTTCAAATTATATGTAAAGTAAAACATGTAAAACAATACAGTTCCAGACTTTGCTTTCCTTCATAAAGCTCGCTTTCATTACTTAGGTCAGCCCTCAAAGCCCAATTAAGGTCCTGAGAAATAAAATTATTATGTAAGTGTAAAAATATTTGTGTGTAAAGATGTATGAAATATGTCTGTAAACTGACAAAATCATTTGCAAGCAACTGCAAATAACTGAAACAGTCCTAGCACAAGATATTCTCACATCTTACTCTAGAAGGATGTGTGATAAATCCAGAATGGTCTTTTAGAGGTTCATTTCTACATTCAGTGAGCAATAAGCCCTACCAAAAGATGTTGGATATGTATTCAGCTAATGCAGGAACACTCCCCTTGCTTTTCTACACTGAAGTGTGAAGAAAAAAAAAAAGAAAAGAAAAGAAAAGAAATGGTGTTGACAGAGAAGGTGCTCCAAGAATGCCCTGAAAGCTTATTTGATTGAATTCAGTTTTAAAAGCCAAGGATTGTGAACACTTACCCGGAAAAGGCAACAGACCTCGGTGACTAAAAGGATGGTTTCTTTGATGAGAAACAGCAAAGACAGAGAAAGCACACAAAACTAAAGAGACAATCTGTAGCAACAAGAGCAATGTAGCAGAAAGCAAGAGATAGGCAGCAGACTGAATGGACTGCAGAAGAAATAGCTAACAGAGTTGGCATGGATGAGGCCTGTCCCTTCATTATTAAGCTGCTGCAGAAGGTGGCAAAGAGAATGTGTGCTTGGAGATGTCCTTTCCAGAACTCTGCCATTCCATTTTCCAGTGTTTGACAATAACTGGGTACACATTTCCCTCATCAACAGGTATAATTTCCAAGTGATACCAGCACAAACCCGTGCAAGGGGAAGTTCAGACTGAGCACCAATAACTGACTAAGCTACAACCTAAGGCATCAAGGCACCACAGCAATGATCTTGAAAATAAATCTCTCATTCAGCTTGCTTTTCCTTTATTACTGTCCCAGTTTTGTCAGTATTCCACATCGTGACATCATGCAGCAGGCTGTTTGGGTGCAGAGGCACAGTGCACTGCAGAGCTATTTCTCTAGCAGCCCCATCTAAGTTCTGATCTCCAAGAAGAGGATACACTGAACTGTACTGCATTTTCCAAGAGCCTCCAGATGATTTCCAATTCTGAGTAATTTATTTTTTGGGGTGTTTTGATTTACAACTCTCATTTTTTCTGTATTATCTCACATACCTTTCAATAAATTAGCTTCTCCTATCTCACCTTTTTCCCCTCTTCCTCCCCCATCCTTTCTCTGGAGGGGAGGAAGAGAGGGGTGTTCCGTGATTATCTCTTAAATCTGCTACAATTATGTAGTAGTCTATAATACTTGGTGACATAACTTTCAGCACACTTGAACAAATTAAATAACACCTACTTTATTTGACTAAGGTTGAAACAAGTCATCATGTCAACAACAGAAGGCACTGATGCACTTTGTTAATTTATAATTTGCTTCAAACATCAAGGCTTTGATTATCTCCATGAGAGATTTAGGTGTAACGTACGTGCAGAATATATGCCAATTGATTATTTATTAAAACTTATACTGTGCTTTTTTCTTGTGTACTAGCACCTACCTGTGTCTTTCTTTTTTTCCCCTTGGATAATTCAGCAGGGCACTAGAGAAAGAATTGTTAATCATCTATGGGCACGTATATTCAAAGATGTCATCCTGTGACAACCAGATGAAAATGATCTCCTGAGCCAAGATCCACTTCATATATCAAGCTCATGGGATTCCTATATTGCTACAGTGACATCTTACCTTCTGAGTCATGCATCAGCTGAGAGGCCAGAATACAGAATCTGGCTTGGAACACTGGCCTTCTTTAATTTTCCCTTCCATTACGTCATAAGATGGTCTCCACTAACTACCCTTCCTAGGTTTATCAGTAAAACTTTTAGAATTGAACCACAGGGTGTGGAATACAATACATGAGCCTGGCTATTTTGGTCTACGTCTAATTAACCTCTGATTCAAGGAGTGCTGGATATAAGTAAGAAGTTCTATTTCAAAGGTATCAACTGAAAGAAGCACATGACAACCACACAATGGAGAAATGTACAATTTCTCCACTTCTTAGAAGCAAATAGACATAATTAAGCTAATCATCTCATAAGTCAATTTAGATGTGAAAATGAAGCGTTAGGAAAGTGCTTCTTTGACTATCATGTATAAGATACTGCTCACACTTTCAATATCTGACACTAGCCACTGTTGTTTATAATATAACATAAAATGACATTTTCTGTGCTCTTGTGAATTATCTTCCTTTCAAAATGGAATGTACATATAGCACATTCTGGGCATCAGACACATCCTGTTCTCAGATTGGGAGCATTCTTCCAACTTAAATTTCTTACAACCCTTTTTCCAAACTTTGCTTGGAATTTTAAATTACGAGTTCAAGATCAAAATAAAGATTGAGAAAATTATAATCTTTTTGTTGCTGTTGTTAATTTTACAGATTTTGATATCTTGATCATAGGAATAGATCATTTTCAAAAATCAAGGCAATGCAAAACAAGCTGATTATAACCATCATTTGATTATTTTACACCATAGCTACTCAAGTGCTGGAGTCAGCTCTCAAACACAGCAGGTAATTACTTTTACCCTATTATCAATTTAAATGCACAGTGAATTTTCAGATCATAACACTTCTAATATGTCAAGTAAAACCAGATGTCTTCTATAAGTGAAATATACATGAGAGATGCAGCAGAACTACAGTGACATGGACAATTAATAATTGACATAGACAAAGTGTGCCCTTACCTAGCATGAGTTTATAAAAATCTCTTATCTTAGTATTATCACAGGTCTTTTTGTTTGTTTGTTTTTGTTTTTTAAATCAACTAACATTAATTTACTAGCATCTCAGAAGACTACTACAGCATGTCAGAAATATAAAACAATCTTATGAAAATACATATATTTATATCATACTAACTGGGGAAAAATAAAAGCCAAGGCTGCTCTAACATAAGAATTATAACATTTTTTTAAAAAAACAACCTTATCAGAAAACAGTGTTTTCTCCTTGAAAATGACAGAGCAGAGAACAGATTTACAGAAATATGTAAGGAACACATAAAAATCAATAGAATGAGAACAGGCCACATTGGGAGAAACCTTAAAAGATCACCAGGTCCAACACAGTGCACTAGTTGGAGAAAACAGATCCTTAGACTGTTGCACATTATCAAATCCCTTTGGGAGAAAGAGTATTAGCACCCAGGCTGACAGACAGATTGAAGATTCTTATTAATTTCTAAAAGCACTTAATCACATTTTGTTCCTGTTGCTACATTCTATGATTCTATGACATGTAAGAACCATTCTCAGATTCTAATGCATAAAAAGAAGCAGCAAGGGAATCTTGAAAACTGCAAAATAAATTCCCACTCAGAATCAAATCAGTAAGTTATCTTTAGCTTTCCAAGAACATTCAGATTAATAGAGTTCAGATTAATAGACTTAAAACAGAAGTCTAAGTAGCAGCTTTCTGAAGGTCCTGAGAAGAGGAGAACAACATGAGACATTTATCACAGTTACAAATGCAATTCTTTTTCACAGAAATTGGGCTGCCCAAAGTAAACCTAAGCTATACTTTATTAAAATCTTTGTTACAAAAAAAGAAAGAAAAAAAAAAATCAGGTACAGTTGCTGAAAACATCTACATTGGTGTGGGGTTTTATTTGTGCCCTGTCTCAATGCAGTACCAGTCGCAGTACTCCAACTTAATCATAAGGATTAATGTGAATAAACTTTGCTCTCTCTGTAAGAGAGGATCAGCTTAATGCTTTGCTCACTAAAACACTGCATGAGCTTGCTCAAGGTTAGGCTATACCATGAAAAGTTTTATTAATTAATGCATTCTAGAATACGTTTAGGGACTTTTTTTGTCCCAGTGATCAGCTTCCTAAGATACACGCTGCTGAAATTATTGCATGCAATGGTATGTACTGATTTAAAATAGGTCAAGATGAGGTAATTCAGATTTATTCAGGCTATTATTTCACCTGATAGACTGGGAGATGAATCTTTAATGGCGAAAGACAGACAGTAAAGGTTGTAGAAGGTTAGACAGTAATCAGAAAATGCATATTAAATCACACAAATTCACTCAGGAACCTGCCAGGAAGTACTTCTGTTTTTGTCTAATGTCAATGCAAGGCACTCCTGCTATTCCAATCAATTCTAGCAGCCATTAGGAGAATTAGTATGAGGTAAAATGAAGCCACCAGCTCAGGGGTTACTAGAGTCCCCGTCATCTGAAGTATTAAAAACTGACTGAATTTTAAAAACAACTTACATAGCTAAGCAAAAACATGCAGGGATTTGAAAACCTGTAGGTACCCAGTCCAGAAATATCTTTATAGTAAGTATTACTTAAACATTACGTGGAAGCAACTGTTCCATTTATTTTCACACACGGTACATGTTACAACTTGTGTGGGATCTCAATATAATTTACTGGTTTCAACTCGAATATCACAGAATGGCTTGGGTTGAAAGGGACCTCAAGGATTTAAGCCTTAAGACATAGCAGAAAAAAAAGGTATTTTAACAGTGTATACTTTTTATATATATAGATACACACATATAAAATTATCTGGAATTCAACAAACATAAATCATCATATTGAAAAACACATTGAAATATTGTTACAGATAAACTTCTGCTAAGAGTCCAAAAGCAACCTGGAAGAAAAATATGATAAATACACTCCACATTACTAGCATCATTCACAATAGGACACGGTACCATAAAGCTGGAGACAGAACTTGTGCCTCTATTTACTTTAGGAAGATGTACTTTCACCTGAGTTTTCAACATGCATACCTAGTTACAAACTCAGTTCTAAGAACAGCTCACCTGACAGCTGTGAAGGAAGCTATACAGAATTGAAG